TAAACTTTTTTTTCTCTTTAATACTGTCAGTTTTTGCTTCATATATTGTGGGGCTCTGGTTAAGTACATGTAAGTTTATAATTGTCATATATTCTGATAAATTGACTTTTTTATCATTATATAATATTTCTTATAATAGTTTTTAGCTTAATATCCATTTCTTCTGATATTATTATAGCCATTCCAGCTCTCTTGGTTACTTTTTACTTGGAATTGTCTTTTTATTTATTTGTTTGTTTGTTTGTTTGTTTGTTTATTTATTTTTATTAATTTCAGAGAGGAAGGGGGAGAGAGAGAGAAACATCAATAATGAGAGAGAATCATTGATTGGCTGCCTCCTGCATGGGAATCAAGCCTGCAACCTGGGCATGTGCCCTTGACCAGAATCGAACCTGGGACCCTTCAGTCCATAGGCTGATGCTCTATCCACGGAGCCAAACCTGCTAGCGCTAAAATTGTCTTTTTAAATTATATAAGCAACAAATATCTACACTAATAAAAGAGAAACATGGTAATTGGCGTACGACCACTACCCTTTTCATTGGCTAATCAGTGAGTATATGCAAATTAACTGTCAGCCAAGATGGCGGCCGGCAGCCAGGCACTGAAGCGAGCAGGGAGGCTTGCTTGCTGCGGACTCCAACGTTCCCCGCCTCAGTTGCCAGCCTCTCAGCTGCAACTCTAAGAAACTATGTACTATGTTGCAAATAAGAAGCTAAACAAAACCCCAGAAAACGGCTTTCATTCAGCCGGGTTTTAGCAACATTGTTTTCAGCGGTGAGGCCTCAGAGCTAAAGCTGGCCCAGAAAAAAAAAAAAAGAGAGAAGAAAACAAGGAGCAGTTGGAAGCTTTACTCACTTGCCAGCTGGAAAACAGCCCTCAGCCCCTCACCCAGACAGGCCAGGTACCCCAGTGGGGACCCCCACCCTGAGCCAGGACACCCTTCAGGGCAAACCAGCCAGCCCCCACCCATGCACCAGGCCTCTATCCTATATAGTAAAAGGGTAATATGCCTCCCAGCACCGGGATCAGCGGAGCAGCGAGGCTCCCGGCACCGGGATCAGCATGACAGGGGACAGCGCCCAAACCCCCTGATCGCCCTGAGGCTCTGTGTGTGACAGGGGGCGGGGCCACAACCTCCCTATCCGCCCTACTCTGTTCGTGACAGGGGAAGGCACCCCAACCCCCTGATCTGCCCTGCTCTGTGCCTGATAGGGGGGAGCTCCCCAATCCCCTGATTGCCCTGCGGCTCTGTGTGTGACAGGGGGCGGGGCCACAACCTCCCTATCCGCCCTGCTCTGTTCGTGACAGGGGAAGGCACCCCAACCCCCTGATCTGCCCTGCTCTGTGCCTGATAGGGGGGAGCTCCCCAATCCCCTGATTGCCCTGCGGCTCTGTGTTTGACAGGGGGCAGGGCCACAACCTCCCTATCCGCCCCACTCTGTTCGTGACAGGGGAAGGCACCCCAACCCCCTGATCTGCCCTGCTCTGTGCCTGATAGGGGGGAGCTCCCCAATCCCCTGATTGCCCTGCGGCTCTGTGTTTGACAGGGGGCAGGGCCACAACCTCCCTATCCGCCCCACTCTGTTCGTGACAGGGGAAGGCACCCCAACCCCCTGATCTGCCCTGCTCTGTGCCTGATAGGGGGGAGCTCCCCAATCCCCTGATTGCCCATTTACAAACCAAAATATACACTCTATATACTGACTTTTATATTTACCTATGCAGAATACCAGTGTTGTTTATTTCTTCATATGAATTCCAAATTACTACCTAATGTCCTTACATTTCAGCCTGAAGGACTTCCTCTTTTTAGCATTATTTGTAGGGAAGGTCTACTAGCATTGAACTCTCTCAGTTTTTGTTTATCTAAGAATGTCTTGAATTAACCTTTATTTTTGAAGTATTTTGCCAGATATACAATTTTTGGCATTTTTAGTTTGTCATTTCACTGCCTACTGATCCCTATGGTTTCTGTTGAGAAATCAGCTGTTATTCTTATTGAGGATCTTTTGTATGAGTGCTTCTCTTTTGCTGTTTTCAGGATTCTGTCTTTGTCTTTTTCTCTCGGAAGTTTGATTATGATGTGTCTTGGTTTAGAAATCTTTGAGTTTATCCAACTTGGGGTTGTTGAGCTTTTTGTCTTTATCAAATTTAGAAAGTTTGGGTGCCTTATTTCTTCAAATATTATCCCTGCCTCTTTCCTCTCCTCTGGAACTCCCATTACGCATATCTTGGTACAGTTATTGGTGTCCCTTAGATTTCTTGAGTTCTGTTTACTTTTCTTCTTCTTTTTTTTTTTTTTTTTTTTTTTAAAAACTTTGGAATCTTGAATTTAATCACTAAACTAAAGTCTCATTTTATTTGACCATTTGTGGAAAATGGGAATTTTCTCAAGAGACTATGTCACACCTTTGGTCTGCAAAACTGGGCATTCTAAATTGATTTATCTTCAAGTTCATTAATTCTTTTTCTTATTATTCAAGTATGCTGCTGAACCCCTTTAGTAGATTTTGACAACTACTGTGCTCCCCACCCCCCCTTTCCCTAGTTAGCTGCCTAAGCTCTGGGAATGTTACAAATCAGGGGAAATAAAGGCAGCCCTTCAAGTGTGTCCTTCAGTGAACCACCAGACATGTTGAAACAAACAACCACAATTTTTTAGAATAAGATTTGTTCTCCTTCATTTGTAAGAACCTTTACCAGGATTGTGGACTGTGTCTTCAAGGCCATTCATTGAGCTGTGTATTGGGGGATCAGTAGGGTTTTTTTAAATTGATTAAGCATTCTCCTGGTTACAATACTAGTAAACTTTTATTAGTTTCTAGATTTCTGGTAAAGTTGATTCTGACATTATTGCTAGTTTATTCATCTCTTTAGTGGAAGGATGGACTTTTGGCATTTCTACTCTGCCATTTCCACTGTTGTCACTTAGAAAGGATTCCTTCGAAGACACAAAAACTACTAACTATACAAGAAAATATTGATAAATTTAACTAAATTAAAATAAAAAGATTATATTCATAAGAAGACATGATACAGGAAGAAGACAATCTGCATAGTAGGATTATATATTTACACAATATAAAACTGATAAAAGAGTAGTTATTCAGAATAGATACAGAAGTATAACAATTCAATAAAAGAGAACCCAATAAGGGAAAATCGGGCAAAAGACTTGAACAGGGACTTTACAAAAGAGAATATCTAAATGACTAATAAAGATGAAAAGGTGTTTACCCTCATTAATAATTAGGGTAAGGAAAAGTAAAACCACCATACTACCTACCAGATTTGACAAAAATTAATAATACTGACAATACTAAGTAGAGGTAAATTGTGGAATAAGAGCAATTGTTACCATTCTTTTGTGATATACATAAATTGGCTTAACCAATTTAGGAATTTGTAAAAGAAGGTATTTATACCCTATAACAATACTTCTGTTCCCGAGTATATGTATATGTGCTAGAATTAATGCATGTGGGAATTATGATATATTAACAAGAATGTAGCATTGTTCATAATGTCTCCAAAATGAAAATAATACAAATGTTCATCAACAGAGTAATCCATATTCATTGCCTCCTTTTTCTTACATTCATCTTTTTTCTTTATATCCTATAATCAAGTATTTATCTTCATGAAATAATGAAGTAGCTCTCTCTCAGACCACTAATGACTATCCCATCTATTTAGTGTCTGTTTCTTTCCCCTTTATCTCTCTTGGTATATTCTTTGAATATCACCTTGTTCCCATCTTGTGCGCAAAACTTGAAAGTAGTCACATTCTCACTTTGAGAATAGAAGAACTATACCATTAGTAGTAGCCCAGAACATGAACTAAATTATGCATAGCCCCAAATAATAAATTTTATAATCAACATAAATATTAATGATTTTTAAAATAAATAATTCACATTATTTGCCCTTATGTTTGTATATTTTTAGAATGGTGATTCTCAATTACATCAGTCTTTACCATGTTGATAGGAATAATTTAATAATAATAATAGCCAACATTTATTAAGTGTTTACTACTTGGAAGTGCTAGATAATTTAAATACACTATCTTATTTAATCCTCATCAGTAATCCAGTGAGGTAGATGCTATCATTGTCTTCATTTTTTAGATAAAAGAAATGATGATTAGAAAAATATATTCCTCTGGTATGAATAAAACTAATGTCTTCTCAATTTTTTAAAAAACGGAAAAATATAGTCATCAGTATCCCTGCAGAAGTCATAGCATACTTAAATGGAGAAGAGTTTAATAAAGTACAAAGGTATTTACAAAGGTTTGGGCAGATTTTAGGGGAAGCAACCAGACATAATGCAGTGCCCTGGGACTCGTAATAGTGGATAGTCCTAATGGAGCAAAGGAAGGGAGCTGCTATTACAATCCAGAAAAGAGCTATAAGCAAGTGTCATCTGACATGGCTGTGATCCTAGCTAACCTATAATGACCTGGTAGAGAAGAAGCCAGGGGAATAAATACCAGACTTTATGTTCCTCCACTCCTTTAGTTTCCTGACAGTGCCTCCCATTGGCTGAATCCAACTGGAAACCAGAAAGCCCAGGATATCCCCAGAAAGGGGATATAGATAGAATGTTGATTCTATCTATACAAGTCAGTTTAAAGTAGAGAGGGTGAAGAAGGATGGAAAATGAATCTGAAAGGGAAATGGAAAATATCTGGGAAATACATAACTATTAAATTACAGAGTCAGTATATGAACGCCAAACACTTTACTCCTGACCACAATGCAATTGTGGTTAAGAGCTCTCATAAAGAAGTTTAATAAAATATTATTTGGCCAGGGGAAATACTTTGAATCTTGAGGTTTCTATTCTACATCAAATTGTTGGATACTTTTATAACTAACAGTATATGAGAAGAAAAGAACGTCCCCATCCAACAACAAGTTAGGTGTGGGTATTGGTTTTACATGCTGTTAGTATTTTTAGAATATTAAACCATGCATATTCCCCTTGTTCAGATTCCAGACTCCATAATTTCTCGTGGCGTTCAGGTGCTCCCACGAGACACAGCTTCCCTCAGCACTACTCCTTCAGAATCGCCTCGTGCTCAGGCTACATCTCGCCTTTCTACTGCTTCCTGCCCAACACCAAAAGTAAGTACAGTCCCTTGGTACTGTGGCTATGATGTGAATCTGGGAAAACTAACCAATATTTTCTTCTGCTTGTCAAGGTCGGATTCATGCATGATAAATACAATGAAAAATTAATGGACTATAAGATAGTTACCATCTACTGTTTCACAAATTTCATACTAGGCCAACAGAAGGACAATAAAAATTTCATGCAAAATGTCTACTTCTACATCAGGTATCACTTTCTGTAGCTCCTATTACTTTGCTGTAGACTTGTTATTTTCTTAGCATACTCATCAGTATAGATGTGGAGTTACATGTTTATGCAGATCAATGCATTTTTGGCCAAAATAAAATAATATTACCAAAAGGTGTGTTGTTTTTTTTTAACCTGTCCAGTCTGGGGTAGCTCCCTGCTCTAGTATCATTCCAAATTTTTTCAAACATATCCAACTTGGAATGTTGCTGCCTAATATTTGGAAACACATCTAAATTGATTAGAAAGTTTTAATGCCAACCTTTGGGGGAGGGAAGAAGTATCTTAGTATTTATTTTTTATAATTTTCCCAATTACTGAATTGTGTATGGGGGAAAAGTATTAGATATTTATTCACTGCCTCACATCTTCAATGTATATGATAAATTAAATAGCAAACTTAATTATGGCTATGACTGCTTACTCCTGGAATCTCCCTTCCCTGGTTAAGATAATCTTTGTGCTATCACGTTTTCTATGGAATGGATCCAATATTGGCATCAAAAGGTTAAGAGTAAAATTTCTTCTTACTTAATAGGATATGGTGTTAGATATCAGTCTGTACACTGAATTTATTCTAGGGCTCTGCAGGTAATTTCTCAAATTGTGACTTTTTCTCTATATCAAATTTAAGAACTTACATAGCTGTCTTTCTCAATTTCTTTCTCAACTTCTCTGAATTTATCAGTGTTGTAATTGGATTTAACTAGAAGTGATCTCAAGCAGTTCTTGATATATAATGTAGTTGCTTTTACATTCCATGGTACAATCTTCTTAGCAAAGTCTTCACAGTGTTAATGTTGTATATCATTGTTTTTAGACTTGTATCAAAAATAACATATTAATTTTATAGTTTAAAAAAACTGAGGTCCTAAATCTTCAGTGAAGAAAAATTGTAAGCACATTCTAGACATGAAATGTATGTTAATGCCATTTGGATGATAATCAACTGCATCTTCACTGAATGAAAACATTGAGTTCTCTAGACTAAAATTGGCTAGATGAATCTCATTCATGTCTTTTTTAAGTTTTTAAATCAAAATAATTTATTGTTTGCATTAAATTCTAATTGTATACGCTGTATTCATTTATAAAATCTGGGAAATAATTAAAGCTGAAAGTTAAGGTCACTATTAATGTTTAGCCATTCACCACATATTAAGATCCAAATCTTGGTAATAAAGAGCTATCCAAGATACAGCATTTTTCCCCCTTAACAATATATACTGTGAACATAAATATTTTAAGCATAATTTAATTATACATACTAGTTCTTAGTCCTTTTAAAACGTTGTAATTATATTTTAATTACAAAGTGAATATTAAATCCAATTTTAAAATTCACTTGGTATTTCCAAGTTTACTAAGGTGAAATCCTAAAAATAAAAATGTTGATATTTATTACGTTAATGTGCGTATTGCAAAGCTTTAGGAGAGCAAGTGGCTTGTCTTGACATTTTTCTCTTAATTAACACTTACATGCTCAAACTGACAATGAATTCATATAAAGCAGTGTATGTGAATATCTTTTTTCCTAGGAATTTTTTTCTATACTTTTATCTAGGAATAAGATTCTGTTTCTTTTTGATAATTTTTACCAGCATCATAATGCATATCTCAAAGATAAAATTATTGCTTTAGTGTAATTTTAAAATTAAATTGTTAAGGCTGAATCAGAATACTAATATAATAAAAAACTAGTTTGAATATTGATTTCTTAAAGGAGTGAAGAAAGTTAAATTAATCTTTCTATTAAATATTTTAAATTATAAGACTTCTTGATTGAATCTAAATTATATATGCTTTTGTATCAGTGACAGTTTAGTCGATGGTATAATAAAATAAATAGGTAGATAAACAAATTATTCAACTATAATTTTACAATAACTTCATAATTATAAATTGAAATTCATGCAAGAAGAAATGAAAAAATTGTAGTGATAGAAAATAATAGGAGGGAAACCTTACTTAGAATGATCAGAGAAGACCTCGCCAAGGAGTAACATTTCACTAAGGACATGAAGAATACACTGTCTAATTTTTTATAAGTTTCCTTTGAACATAAGAATTTAGATTACTCTGGATAAATAATAAATATTTTTTAACTCACAGTTTTCAATCATTAGGTCTGTCTAGAAAACAATGTGATTTCCTTTACATATAAAAATGGCATTATTGATCCAGTATCAGTATAATATTCCCTCTGAGATTTTTTTCTTAGTGAAGTTAGTTTTACAAACTATTCCATATTATTACCACTTTTCTTTGTGAGCACCAGGGTAATTATATGATATGGCTAGTTCATTGGTTGTAAACCTGAGGTTCCCAAGTCTCTGGAGAATCTTTGTTGCTAGGTCATGGTACTAGCTGGGGTCTGCAAATTATTTTTCACTATTTATAAGAGCATACACAAAATCAATAAGACTATACTAAACATCAAGTTTCTTTGCTTTTGTCTTAAATCAGTATTGGTATAGCAACCTCTATTCAGCTGTAAATGACATTATAGAAATATGGGTTCTACAAACACCAAAAAAAGTTGGAAAACACTGAGTTAATGACATCAAAAGTACATTTTCTAAACATAAAAATGTAAGTTATTTTATAAAAAGTTAATTGCCCCATCTGATGGATATTGAGAATAATATTCTCTAGATTATTTGTCAAAGTCAGCAATTCTCAGACATAATGGTCTCAGAACCCCTTCACACACTTAAAAATTATTAAGGACACCAGATAGCATTTGTTTATGTGGTTATACCTAGTAATATCTACTGTGCAAGAAATTAAAACTGAGAAATTTTAAATGTTTATTTATTTGCTTCAAAATAAGAATAATAAGCCTTTATATGTCAACATAAATAACATTTTTATGAAAAAAATGTTTTCCAAAACAAAAATATCTACTGAAAAGGATGGCATTGCTTTACATTTTTTCAAATATATTTCAATGTTTGGTTTAATAGAAGACAGCCAGATTCTCACATCTTCTGTACTCAGTCTGTTGTGGTATGTTGTTTTCGTTGAAGAATATGAAGAAACAAATCAGCCTCACACAGTTATGTAGTTAGAAAAGGAAGGATGATTTTAATAGTATTTTCAGATAATTATGGGTATTTTTTGAAATTACACCAAAAATTTACAATTTTCTTTTAAAAGTTAGTTGAAGGATGGAATCAAAAATTTTGTCAGGACCATTGAGTACTTTGATATATTATAATCCATTGCCCTGGCTTGAACTTTGAATGAACTTAGGTATGATTTTGTAACACATTTCTTGGTAACTTAAAAAATATATGTTCTTCTAAGTGTTGACATATTTCATTATTTATATTAAAAAACCATTTTCATTAATATAACCACCAAGCTCATAAAAAAGGACTTCGAAGTATTGGAAGCTCTCAAACTCATAGTATTATATGTTTTCCACAGTTCTGATTTGTGTTTAAAAGTTATCTTTGACAAAACAACAATTCCTGTCTGTTTTTCTGGAATTGACAGGCCCATTTCATTCATTTCGAGAAAATGTCTGCCGAATATCTAAGTCTGAATAATCACAGTTTGTCAGTATTCTTTCATTCCTTCAAGTAACAATGGTATTCTGTTCAAAACCTGACTAGTTCAGCATGCAACTCAAACAACTGCATAAGTGCTTTTCCTTGAGACAATCATCATCCTTTGATATGGAACAGCAGTATTGTATTCATACTACTCATTTTGCCAGACTCAAGGGACAAGTTTAAACTAAGTTAAATTAGTATTTACTGTTTCATTGAGAACAACGTTAAATGAAACTAGCTTTTCTTTTTTGAAACTATTAAATTTTTTTAACTGTTAGTGCATGATAGTGAATAATACAAGGACTATTCATACTATTTGGATCCACCACCTCAATCTGCACTAAGGTGCCAACCCACCATTGCTTTTGTATCATTATTGAAAATGTCAACATAGTGAAAGAGGCAAATGTCATAGTACTATTATTGAAATAATTCGGCCTTTGGACTCCTGAAAGGGCCTCGGGGACCCTCATGGGACTGTGGACTTAAAGAACCACCAGTATAATCAAATGAGCAAACTGGTTTGTTTCTTGAAAATATATGGGTCAAAATTATGTCTTTTGAATCTTATTTTTTCTGTGAGACAATGTTACAGTGCTATCCTCAGAATAGAGATCTTATTCAGGGGTGGGAACCTTTTTTTGGCCAAAGGCCATTTGGGTATTTATAACATCATTCACGGGCCATAAAAAATTATCACTTTAAAAATTAGCCTGCTATATTTGGTCAAACATTTAATTAATTCACCCCTAAAGCCTTGGCAGGGCCACACCAAATGATTTCATAGGCCTTATACAGTCCACAGGCCAGACATTCCCCACCCCTGGTATGTAAATAACTACCAGTATAGTACCTGCTTAAGCATTATAAATGGTTCACCCTCACTCTGTAATCCCAATTAATTCCAGAGCAGGGAATAGAATTTCTCCTCCCTAAGTCAAAATGAGAAAAGGCTTCACAAAGTCTTTTGCAGATACAAGACCAGAAATTGTAATTTCTGGCTAACTCGACTTATTTCCAAAGAGATACTATTTCTGCACTTGGATGGCATCTAATGTTTCCCCAGGATATCTTATCTACTAATAGATACAGAGAGGCCTCTTTTAAGTAATAGCCTAATTTTGGGAAGATAATTTTATTAGAGATATAGTTGAGCGTGGCTCTTTAAAACTCAGTTTAGAACATTTAAAATTGATGAGCTTTTA